GATATAGATATAGATATAGATATAGATATAGATATAGATATAGATATAGATAGATATAGATATAGATATAGATATAGATATAGATATAGATATAGATATAGATATAGATATAGATATAGATATAGATATCGATAGAGTCACCCACCCCTCACCGCCGCCCACGAACGAAGCCATTGCTCGGGAACCAACAAAATGTGTCAATACGCCTGTACGAAATAACAGCCTGTTCTGCTAGCTTCTATGACAAATACGACATACGCATATACGTTTTCCTATGACACTATTTGTCATAGGAAGATTTTTTCTATGACAAATATTGTTGTATGTGTTGTGCGCATCATAGGAGTTTAGGAGCGCTATTATGAACGCAAGCAGTGAATTTCAGCTGTAAAGCGCGGAACGAAGTTGACTTCTTAAAAATCTTCCTATGACAAATAGTGTCATAGGAGAGCGTATATGAGTATGTCGTATCTGTCATAGATGCAAGCAGAACATGTTGGAAATAATGAGCATGTATGACACTTGACGCATGTATGACCTTTGCGCGCTGCTTATACACATTCAATTGCCTCGGCTATGGCGCAGATTTGCAAACGATTCCGCAGTTGTTGTAAATCCATTACGAGGCCCTACTAAGTCCTATAACTGGTATCAGCAGAACGTATATGTACGGTATCATATACATGAACTGTGGATATTGCGTGTAGCTCGTGTATTGCTCGTGTAGCAGCTATTGCGTGCGTATAGGTTACTTAGCGGTCAAGTGGCAGCAGTCTTTTAAGCGCTCCCGCCCGCGCTTACTGATGAATATGACTTAAATAAGAATACGCTGCAGTGCTGTGATATCGCCCGCAGATGTCGCAATATAATAACATTGCTTATACACTGATGTGAATCAAAGTGACCGCGCCGAACGTTCTCGGACCGTAGTCAGCATAGCATCAGCAGGTCAGCAAAGCCGTCCGCTAATGAATTCGTGATTCGTTCTAATGATTTGTTGTACGAAATCCACGATAGCAGTAGTATAGTGATGCGATGTAAGCAAGTGGTGCTGCCGTACTATCACCATCGCGCTTTGCTGCTATATGCGCGCGTGGGATGTTCAGATAGAAGTGGCTCTAGTGTCCTCTCTCCGAGATTTCACCCATTGCAGTGCCGACCGGGTCAACGTTCTCTTTTTATGAAGGTCGTTAGATCGAGAAAATGGCATTTATAGTGAATCTAGCGGACAAAAATGGTCTCCTTCTATCTCGCGCGTTAGGCATGGGTGTCCACGCACATCATGATTACGAGACGAGGAAATGACAAATAATAAACGTAAAGCCCGGCGCACATGTGAGTAATTTTACTCAAGTAAAATAACGCATGAGTCATTTTACTTGAGTAAAATTACTTACGTGTGCGCCGGGCTTTAGGATTGTATTTAATTACTAGCGTTGAAAGCTTACGCGAACAATGTGAATCGAGTTATCAACTATTTATGACATAAGCGTATTAACGATGAATAGAATCAGAAGTAGATAATAGGTTCTACTATTATGATGAACACATCATATCACGCGCGCATATAGAGCCGACCGAGGTGTTTACGCGCTGAAGTGACGGTGGCTCGTCCTATTGATCACGTTTCGAACGTTAGCTGCTGCAGATGAAGGCGACGGCCGGCGCCACGCAACTTTGTGGTGATGTTGGCGCATGGGCGACTGACGCCGCTTCGCATATAATATGCTCCGCCTGCCTTTGCCGTGAGCACTGCATCCACGGCAAACACGCTTACAGGTACTGACGCTCTACCGATCGCAATCGCAAGCAAGCGGCTATTTCGCAAGAACGAAGGGAGGAGGCGAGACAGCGACACCGGGGCGACAGAGATAGGAGGAAGCGAGAGAACGAAAGAGAGAGAAAGAGAAAGACAGAGAGGCAAGAAGGACGTGTATGTGATAGAGGGAGAGAAAGAGAGAAGGAAAGCGAGAAAAGGAGATAGAGAGAGAAGGACAGAAAAACACAGATAGAGCAAACAAAAACGACAGAGACAGAGAGAGGCGGCAAGAGACCCGGGTCAATTACTATATAACTGCGCTATAAATTTCGAGAACAATCAGAACAAGATGGCCTCCTATCCAGTCAGCTTCACGCAGCTCGGTGTCGTACTGATCTGCTTCAACATGTTGCTATTCGCCTGTGGAAGGACTTTGGCGTACCCGACGTCAGCGCTCGAGCAGCAGCTTATAGACGACCCGGTGAGTGAAGTTTTTTTCTCGTTTAGAAGACGCACGACGTAGAGTGTACGTTATCTTTACATCCTGTCGGTGGCAGTCTATGATAATTGTTACCTCGCAATAACACCGCGGCTTACAAAACAGACGTAGGCGGTATACGCGAGTGATCACCGCGTCCGTGTCACTCACTGACCTTGACAGAATCTGATGACCTTAACGACCTCAACAGCTTCTTCCGCTAGCTGCTGCAGTATATATATATATATATATATATATATATATATA